CGTTTAACTGACGGAAGGACCATTTTGGTACCAAAAATGAAAGTTCGAGGATAATTTTGGTACTTTTTAAAGCTGAGGGACAATTTTGGTACCAAAGTGATAAGTTGAGGGACTAAAATGGTACTTAAACCTTTTTTTTTCCACGTCATTAGTTACGAAAAAAAAGAATTGATTTGCTGGCAAGTTAACGTGACATCTGTTATTTAACTGACGGAAGGACTGTTTTGGTACCAAAAATGAAAGTTCAAGGATAATTTTGATACTTTTTAAAGGTGAGGGACAATTTTGGTATCAAAGTAAAAAGTTGAGGGACCAAAATGGTACTTAAACCTAAACCATCATTAAAATACAAAGAGAACTTAACAATTTCCCCCTTTTTTATGATGACAAAACCATGCCTTAAAATAATAAAGATAATAAGTGTAAGCTCCCCCTCAAAATATGCTTCCAAGTTTCAATAGGAATTGCACAAACAAGTAATAAGGATAGTTTTCATTTAAGTTCCTCTCTCCCTTTTTGTCATTAGCAAAAAGAAATTTGCACATTAGCACAAAGCATAGCATGGGGTTCAAACATACAAATAAGCAGTACACAAAAGTCAGACATTGTAAGAGTACAAATTACTAAAATTATGATAAGCATTATAAACCAAAGTAAGCACAAAGCATTGCATCTGGGTGTCTACGATGAGCATTTCCTCTTGTTTTTACCAACAACCAAAACTTCATTATCATGAATGTTTAATATTTTGCATGCATTTGACACAAATAATTGTGTCCCTTATCACATTGTTGACTTATACAAATCAAATTATGCTTGAGACCTTTTACATAATAAACATTTTTTTTTCAAATTTTCCTTCAAGCTTCCTTGAAAACACAACTTAAGCACTAGATTTTGGTACCCAAACTTTCTTGGATCCATTTAAGTTAGTCAAACAAGTAGAAATTTTCTTAGGAACCCATTTTAAATTCATCTTAAAGAAATTCTTTCGAGTATAGTACTTGTCACGCCCCAGAACCCAAATCTGGGGATGTGGCAGACGCCGTGCACTCGTGAGAGGATCCCACAAATGCACAAGGCTTGGAACTTATCCAATTTACATCTGACAATCCAATAACTTAAATAAGATATTTCAAAATAATTCTATGTCCAACACTTAATGTCACGTCCCAGAACCCAAATCCGAGGTGTAACAAACGCCGTGCACTCGTGAGAGGGTCCCACAAATGCACAAGACTCGAAACTTATCCAATTCACATCTGACAATCCAATAACTTAAATCAGATATTTCAATAATTCTATGTCCAACATGACTTAAACTTAAAATCTCAAGGTAAAATCTATCTTACAAAAAAATCATGATTTATTTCTAAAATCTATATCAATCTCGAAATGGCTAGCCTTTTAACTCGTCACTTCTCGTGGTTTCCGTGTCTCGGGTCATACTACCTGAAATGGTGGACAAGGAAAAACTATGAGATAAAATATCTCAATAAGTAAATGTATGGATAACCC